TAGCCTTAACATCTAATTTATGTAAAATAATGGAAAAAATGATTAATAATAGACTAGTATATTATCTAAATAGTAAAGGATATATATCAAAATATCAAAGTGGTTTTCGAAAAGGGAGGAGCACTAACGATCCAACGCTCTGTTTAGAGCACGAAATTAGAAGAGCACAAGTAAATAAAGAAAGTGTAGTGGCTATATTCTTTGATATAGAAAAGGCATATGACATGATGTGGGTGGATGGATTATTAATTAAATTATACAAGATTGGTACTAAAGGGAGAATATTTAAATGGATTAAAGACTTTTTAACAGGTAGGAAAAAACAAGTTAGAATAGGAGAAACTACCTCAGGAAAATATAAAGTAGAAAATGGAACTCCACAGGGGAGTATTATAAGTCCACTTTTGTTCTCAATTATGATAAACGATGTATTTAAAGATATTGAAAAAGACATGGGGTGTTCACTATTTGCAGATGATGGAGCTGTTTGGAAACGAGGGAAAAATGTTGATTTTATTGTTAAAAAATTACAAAAGGTTATTATTGAAATAGAGAAATGGGCGTTGCAATGGGGATTTAAATTCTCAGTTGATAAAACAAAAGTAATGTTATTTACTCAGAAAAAAATAAATAAGGAAATAAAATTAAAATTATATAAACAAGAGTTAGAGCAGGTAAAGTGTATAAAATTTTTAGGATTATGGTTTGATGAAAAATTAAAATGGCATATACATATACAAAAAGTTGTTGATAAATGTAAGAAAATCTTGAATATTTTGAGATGTTTGGCTGGCAGTGACTGGGGAGCAGATAGGAAATCACTAAAACAGATTTACACAAGTATGATAAGATCCAACATAGACTTTGGTTGTTTAGTTTACGGTTCAGCAGCTAAAACACATCTAACCAAATTAGACATTATCCAACATCAGGCACTAAGATTATGTACTGGAGCTTTTAAAACCACACCAACAGCAGCATTAGAAATAGAAATGGGAGAAATGCCATTAGATTTAAGAAGAACAAAATTAGAAATCAATTACTGGTTAAATTTACAAGGAAATAAAGGGGATCACCCAACTTTGGACATTTTAAATCCATGCTGGGAAAAAGAAAAGAAAGAAATGAGGAGTTTTGGATGGACAATTGAAAATAAAATTAAAAAATTTAAAATGAATAGTTTAGAAATGAGTCAAACAACACCAATATCAATTATACCTCCCTGGATTCTACCAGAAGCAACAGTAGATATGTCACTAATGGAAAAGAAACAAGATAAATCGTACACGGTAGATATCAATTTAGTACAGTTATATTTAGACAGTTATTATCAATATATTCAAATTTATACCGATGCATCAAAAATAACTGAGAAATTAGGAATAGCATTTGTAGTACCAGAATTCAATATAAAAATAGGAAAACGGATTACAGATGGATTATCAGTATACACAGGAGAAATGTTGGCAATATTATTAGCATTACAATGGGTAGAAGATATAAAACCGTTAAAATCAGTCATTTGTTCAGATTCAAGCTCCGCATTGTTAAGTTTAAAAAATAACCAAACAGATAGTAGGATGGACATTTTATTAGAAATAAATCATACACTGTTCAGAATACGAAACATGGGGCTGATAGTTACATTTGTGTGGGTTCCAGCACATATTGGGGTAGAAGGAAACGAGTGGGCAGATAAAATGGCAAAAAGGGCAATTAAACATTCTATTAGTTTTATAGTTAAAATAAGTAAATCAGAAGGAAAGAGTATTATTAAAGAGAAACTTATGGAAATTTGGCAAAAAAGGTGGGATGAAGATAAAACAGGAAGATGGTTTTATAAAATTCAGAAGATGGTAGGAGAAAGAAGAAATGGAAGAAGAAATAGAAAGGAGGAAAGAGTGATAACAAGGTTAAGATTTGGTCATACAGGACTTAATTATACACTTTTTAAAATACAAAAACATAAAACGGGCAAATGTGATTTCTGTGATAAATATGAAACCATAGAACATGTTATATTAGACTGTCATAAATATGAAAGAGAGAGAAGATATATGAGAAGAGAGTTTGAAGACATTAAGGAGAAGGTTAATTTATTAGATATACTGAGGAAAAATTTAGGGAGTAAACACATACAAATAATTATTCGTTTTCTAAAGAAAACGAAATTATTCCATAGAATTTAATTATAGTAAGTGTGTTTGTGAGTGAAGGAATGATATACAAAGCTGTGCACAAATTTGTTTATATTTTTAAGTGTGAATGTGTGAATGTATGTTTAGAAGAAGTTAGGCTAGAATATATCAGGATAAATATTTAAACCATCACGAACCACACTCCATACCAGTAAGTGGCGGTAATGCTACTAACAGTTTGTTGCCAACCGCCATAAAACACGAGAAGAAGAAGAAGAAGAGCTGTCCAAAGACACTACAGACAAAATTGTACACCTCCACAATGCTGGAAAGGGGGTGTTGTTGGGCGTCTTGGGCTACGTGAGTTTAATTCGGAAGGAGGTGCATGGCGCGTGTTTCTAAGTCGCTTGTGGAGAAATGTCCCGGGTCGTGAGTAGCGAGGAAACAGGAAGCGATTCTTGTGGGATGGAAGAAGGAAAAGGAAGAAGATTGGAAGAGAGTAGAGTCAAAAAAATGAGCAAAAAAGCTGAGATAAATTGAAGGGGAGTCCAGTTCAGAACAGTCAAGTGATGAACAATCTATAAATTACACAGGAAAACAAAATGGTTACAAAGTAATATTCAAACTAGTTAATCAGGGAGACTCTTTTGCAGATTGGAATCTGGTTCAGTTAACAAAACCGATAAAAAAAACTTGTAGGAAAAGTCTGAAGTGCCAGAATACTGTACAGTGGAGATCTATTAATAAACTGCAGAGACAGCGCTCAACAAGGCAAAGCTATACGGATTAACAAGATTGAGGGGAAAAGAGTTCAGTGCAGCTTAGTGGAGAACAAAAGGATTAGTAGGGGAGTCTTTGGAGGATTGCCTCCAAAAATAACTGAAAAAGAGATTCTAGAAAAGATAAGTGGTGCAAAAGTAAAAGTGAAACGGTTAAAAACAACAAGAAATTGAGAAAGGTGTGACAGCTTATGTGTTAATTAAATTTGAAGAAGAGCATTTACCCACCAAGGTTTTCATTGGTTACATGAGCTGCAATGTAAAAATGTACAATCCACCTCCTCTGAGATGCTTTAAATGCCAAAAATCCGGACATATAGCAGCAGTATGTTAAGAAAAACAATGATGTGGAAGGTGTGCTGGAGAGCACGAATATGGAAAATGTGGGACAGAAGTGAAAATTAAATGCTGTAACTGTGGTGGAAAGCATACTGCTGCAAGGAAGGTTCTCCTGCTTAAACCAGCACATGTCAAGGCCCGTCTTAAGTTTAATGGAGCCTAGGAGGAAATTCAACTGAAGGAACTAATTGTTCTCTTATAACCACCTGCGACACAGCCTATCAGCTTTGAACCACACCCCCACAAAAGCCAATCGGAATCCAAAGTTCATCTTAAAAGGCCTCCGACCTGCACTGTCTGCTGCTGTGCGCAGGCGGCGGATCCGCTGTCTGACTTCATTCAGATGACACTATTTCAACCCACCTCCAGCTCCTTCACCATTGTAGCTAAAGCTTCATCATAGTGTCATTCCTCCTGGACTCTTGCTGCATTCCCTGTCTCATCTCAACCGGTCCGGCAGAAGACCGCAATGTTGAGCCTGGTTCTGCCAGAGGTTTCTTCCCAACAGGGAGTTTTTCCTCTCCACTGTCGCTCCATGCTTGCTCATCATGGACAGGTTCTCTCAACCTGCGTTATCCAAACTGGACCTCCATCTTCCAGATCCCTGAGTGAAGCCCTAGTATCAGCTCACGCAATCCACTGGATCTCCCCATAAAGTTCAGCATACTGTCTCGCTAACCAGCAGTCTACAGACTGACCAACTTCATCTATTGCCACTCCACCACTAGTTTCAGGCCTGGGGGGGGGGCAGCCCTATTCTTTGCTCCTTTTCGTGCATATCTATCAAAATAAAGCGCTATGTTTCCTGCCGAGGTCTGAGCGCCAAAGACAAAGTAACTGTATCAATAAATTTCTCCTAATTGACTTTCTCTTCGTGTGAGTTTTTCAGATTGAACTAATGAACATTTGGATGATCCAAAGGAGTGATGGGTAGAAAGTCATGCGGTCAGATGAGACCAAAATAGAACATTTGTCATATTTCCACTAACCGTGTTTGGATGAAGAAGAAAGATGAGTACCATCCTAAGAACACCATTCCTACTGTGAAGCATGGGGTGGTAGCATTATGCTTTGTGGATGTGGTTCTGTACATGGGACAGGATGACCGCACTTAAGAAAAGATGACCGGGGCCATGTATTTCAAGATTTTCGGGAACAACCCCCTTCCCTCAGAGCATTAAAGATGGGTTGAGGCTGGATCTTCCAACATGATGATGACCTGAAGCACACAGCCAGGATAACCAAGGAGTGGCTCTGGAAGAAGCATATCATGCAATGTGTGCAAACCTGGTAAAAAAATAAAAATAAAAAAATACAGGAAAGGTTTGACCTCTTTAATTGCAAACAAAGGCTATTGTACCAAATATTAAAATTGATTTTCTCAGGTTTAAATACTTATTTGCAGCTGTGTCACATAAATAAATAGTTAATAAAATCAGACACTGTGATTTCTGGATTTTCTTTTCTTTTTAGATTATGTCAGATTAAGACAGACACTTATACACTTAATAGTTTTTCATAAAATTACAAAAAAAAGCACCTTTTCAGGGTTAACGGAGTAAATTTCAGAAACAAGCTAATTTTTCAGTACATAACTTCCATTCCAGGACAGTAGGTGGAGTTCATAACTAAAGCATGTTTGTTCTGAAAGCTCAGGTTCAACACGGAAGCAAACGGAAAGCTGAAAACGAAGTCAGACCACCTTTGTGGTGTTTGATTATTTTCTTGTATCAAGTTGAAAAATGTCCGTTCTGACCATGTATCCGGTTCAAAGTATGCGCAAGTTTGTCTGCGACCGGCTGACTGCAGCAGCTCAGGAGATCCTGGGAGCGTTTGAAAAGAGAGTAGAGGAGTATGAAGCGGAGCTGGCGCGACAGCGCAGGATGTTAGACACGGTGTTTTCTCCAGAGATAAAGTTACAGAGGACAGGTTGGTCACCAGGTTCTCAACTATAACAGCTTTATAATCTAAGGAAGTTAGTGTCATTAATCTATATTGATGCTGCCTCTCCTTTTTTCTTTTTGCTTCCTTAACTCATGTGTGATCTTGCTGCTGCGGTAATTAAACCCGTCTGACAGGTGTGACTCGTTTTCAGAGGAAAGCACTTTTTTTCAGAAGAAATAATAAAATTAATGCATAAATATCCACTTATTTGTAGTTGCTTAATGTAGGTGCGTTGGCACTTCCTGGTACATAAGAACAATTCCGGACTGACATTAAATGACGCAATGGTTAATTATGTTTTAAGGCGGAAGTTGCGGAACTTTTTTTTTGTTAACTTTATTTTTATAACAAACCATAGTGTACAATATGGAAGAGGATTAGGGACATTGAAAAAAAATGTAAAAAGTTACCTAATTTTTACATTTTATTCCAGTTTAATATGGAAAAAATTCAGAATTCTGAGATTAAAGTCAGAATTTTGAAGAAAAAAGTCAGAATTCTGGGATTTAAAGTCCGAATTCTGGGAATAAAGTCAAAATTCTGGCTTTTTTTCCCTATTAAACTGAATTAAAATTTAAAAATTTTATGTTTTCAGTAGCCCTAATCCTCTTCTGTAGTCCATAAACTCGAGGTACAAATATTACAACATGGGTTGAGAAAAAAAAAATAGACAGAACATGGGGCTAAGAAGAAGAACAGATACATAAACAAATAAGGCCAATGAAAAAAGTCAGAATTCTGAGAAAAAAGTCAGAATTTTGAGATCAAAATCTGAATTTTGAGATTAAAGTCAGAATTTTGAGGAAAAAAGTCAGAATTCTGAGGAAAAAAGTCAGAATTCTGGGATTTAAAAGTCAAAATTCTGGGATTTAAAGTCAGAATTCAGACTTTTTTCCATAATAAACTGAAATAACATTTAAAAATCAGTTAGCATTTTTTTTATTTTTTCAGTGGCACTAATCGTCTTCCGTAGTACAAAGACTGGGTAGAGTTAAAAAAAATATACAGAACATGGGGCTAAAAACAAGAACAGATACATAAACAATAAGGCCAATGAATAAATATAGAGCAAGATTTAAAAACAAAAGAAAAGTAGAAATACTGGCAGTTACTTTTTTGGCAGAAACAGATTTCAAATGTTTCATTGAAGTGTAATACAATTTAAATTGGTCAAGAAAAAAATACAAAACAAGGAGTAGAACCTCTTCATTTACAGCAAAGTATATGATATTTGACAAGCAAGAAAACAATATTAACCATATCTGAAATTTTACTATGAAGGTCATCAACATAATACAACACGTAGGTGATTGTTATTTCTTGGATGTGCTCAATTTTAAGGGACAAACAATTTTTGATGTCTAAAAGAAAAGGGACTTGAAAAACAGTTTTTTTTTTCAGAAAAAATTATAAGATTAATGCATAAATATACACTTAATTGTAGTTGCTTAACGTAGGTGTGTTGGTACTTCCTGGTACATAAGAAAAATTTCGGAGGTTCCTTAAAAGAAGATATTTTTTACCAAATTAAACCAGGTGAAAGTAAAAATGTTCCACTTTAGGAGTTCTGGATTGAGCATATTGACAGACGAACATTTTTTTTTAATTTTAAATGCAAAATGTGTGTGTGTGTGTGTGTGTGTGTATGTATATATATATATATATATATATACACTATATTGCCAAAAGTATTTGCTCACCCATCCAAATTATTGGAATCAGGTGTTCCAATCACTTCCATGGCCACAGGTGTATAAATTCAAGCACCTAGGCATGCAGACTGTTTTTACAAACATTTGTGAAAGAATGGGTCGCTCTCAGGAGCTCAGTGAATTCCAGCGTGGAACTGTGATAGGATGCCACCTGTGCAACAAATCCAGTCGTGAAATTTCCTCGCTCCTAAATATTCCACAGTCAACTGTCAGCTGTATTATAAGAAAATGGAAGTGTTTGGGAACGACAGCAACTCAGCCACGAAGAGGTAGGCCACGTAAACTGACGGAGCGGGGTCAGCGGATGCTGACGCGCATAGTGCGAAGAGGTCGCCAACTTTCTGCAGAGTCAATCACTACAGACCTCCAAACTTCATGTGGCCTTCAGATTAGCTCAAGAACAGTGCGCAGAGAGCTTCATGGAATGGGTTTCCATGGTCGAGCAGCTGCATCCAAGCCATACATCACCAAGTGCAATGCAAAGCGTCGGATGCGGTGGTGTAAAGCACGCCGCCACTGGACTCTAGAGCAGTGGAGACGCGTTCTCTGGAGTGACGAATCGCGCTTCTCCATCTGGCAATCTGATGGACGGGTCTGGGTTTGGCGGTTGCCAGGAGAACGGTACTTGTCTGACTGCATTGTGCCAAGTGTAAAGTTTGGTGGAGGGGGGATTATGGTGTGAGGTTGTTTTTCAGGAGCTGGGCTTGGCCCCTTAGTTCCAGTGAAAGGAACTCTGAATGCTTCAGCATACCAAGACATTTTGGACAATTCCATGCTCCCAACTTTGTGGGAACAGTTTGGAGCTGGCCCCTTCCTCTTCCAACATGACTGTGCACCAGTGCACAAAGCAAGGTCCATAAAGACATGGATGACAGAGTCTGGTGTGGATGAACTTGACTGGCCTGCACAGAGTCCTGACCTCAACCCGATAGAACACCTTTGGGATGAATTAGAGCGGAGACTGAGAGCCAGGCCTTCTCGTCCAACATCAGTGTGCGACCTCACAAATGCGCTTCTGGAAGAATGGTCAAAAATTCCCATAAACACACTCCTAAACCTTGTGGACAGCCTTCCCAGAAGAGTTGAAGCTGTTCTAGCTGCAAAGGGTGGACCGACGTCATATTGAACCCTATGGATTAGGAACGGGATGTCACTTAAGCTCATATGTGAGTCAAGGCAGGTGAGCAAATACTTTTGGCAATATAGTGTATATATGTATATATATATATATATATATATATATATATATATATATATATATATATATATATATATATATATATATATATATATATATATATATATATATATACATATATATATATATATATATATATATATATACATATTTATTTTTTATTTTAACAATGGTTTTCCTTAAATTCTTGTTCAGATTATTTTAATTTGTCGGTACAGGAACAAACACTTACAAAACAGTTTTCTTTTTGCTATTTTAACACATCTTCTTTCAGAAACTCGACATACATTAAAAAGATCTAATCAAAGGCCTTGACCCCTGATTTAAAATTAAATTTGAAGCATCATGCAGCCATCAGGAATATACTTGCTCAGTTTGCTTCCCTATTGTTGATTGGCCAGGGCTTGGTGCTTCTAGGCACTTAATAAGGCAAACGGTTTACAACGCAATTTGGGGAAAAAAAAAACATAATTAGTTTTTAATTGTTCTTAACTTATTTTTATTCCTTTTTTAAAGTGAAATGTCTTTTTTTCTTTTGGGTTTCAGAAATCAAGGCTCCTCTAAATCAGCAGCAGTATGGCAGTAATGACGGAGCATCCAGATTCCTACCAGGTACTGTGCAGATTAAAGAAGAGCATGAGGAAATGAGCATCAGCCAGGAGCGACCGCAGCCTCTGCAGCAGCAAGAAGCTGCAGCCTCCAGGCTGACTTCAGCTTCTCATCCAAATACCCCTGGTGAGAAATCACAGCTGCTAGGTCCTGAAAAAGCGTGGGGAGCAAATAAAGATCTTCAGTCTAACAGTTCAAACCAAGATGTAGAGTCTGGATCTAAGGAGGGGGTAGCCTTGGTGAGTGGGCAATCGCTCTCTCAAAATTCAGGCCATGCTGAAACCCCAATTGACAAAAGAGGGCCAACATCAACATCAGCTGAACCTACAGAGCAAACTTCTACTGAAAGGAGCCCGGCTCAGGCTACAAATACAGAGGAGTCGTTTGATGATGCATTTTTGGATGGAAATTATGAGGACATCTTGAATGAAATTGACGAGAACTCATTTGCACTCTCCGGTATGAGTCCTGAGCCGTCCTCTGAAATGAGTTTTCATGACCTAAATGCAGCATCAACCATCATCACAGAGCAGGCACAGTTGGAGAAAGATAATTGTGAGAGGCCGATGTTAACACCAATCAATAATACAGGGTTCCCAATGACAGCTGCAACCAATGAGTCGGCACCAACAAGGGGCTGTATAGACAACAATAAAATAACAGCAACTCAAGAAAACTATAAACCAGAAGCAAATAAGAATCTAGATGAACATATTGTCTTAAGAAGAGTTATTGAGCCAGTTCAACTGATGGAATTAGTTGGTAGGCCAGCGCCTCCTGTCTTAACTGTACCAGCACCAGGTACTGCTCCAACCTCATCTGTAATAGGTCAAAATGGAATGAGCGCATTTTGTACAGGTGACAAAGATAAGCTCATAACATCAACCGGATCTGCTGAATTTGCACCAAACATTATAACATCAGTAAATATCCAGGAGACAACCACTGCTGGGGAATCTCTGCTTGAAAATGCAAAAGGAAAAGAGGCAAGATTGGCTCAGAGCACCGGAGACGGCCAGGGTTCTGAGCCGCCGCAAATAGAGAAAAAAAGGATGCGGAAAAAGGAAGATTCCAAATCTTCCAAAAGCAATCAAATGAAAAAGCAAGACAAAGGCAGCAAAGAGAACAACATGTCAAACCAGAATCCCGACCCACCGCTGTCTAACACGGATGAAAGCGAATCCAGCGACGGAGAGAAGGCAGAAAACCCCTACAAATGTGACACGTGTGGCAAAGAAATGTCCAACTTCAAGAACTACAAATTCCACATGAAGACACATACGGTCGCCAAGAACTACAAATGTGACACTTGCGGGAAGATGTTCAGAGAGAGCTGGGACTTGAACAAGCATTTGATAATCCACTCTGCTGAGAAGCCTTACAAATGCGACATCTGCGGAAACGGATTCAATCGGCGCTACAACCTCGACCTCCACGTCCGGGTTCACACGGGGGAAAAGCCGTACAAGTGCAGCACGTGCGGAAAGAGCTTCAGCTCATGCGTCAATATGAAAAAGCACATGAGGATTCACACAGGCGAAAAGCCTTATACCTGCAAGGAATGTGGCAAGGAGTTTGCAGACTCATCTGCTTATAAAAACCACCTGCGGGTACACACGGGGGAGAAGCCTTTCAAGTGTTCCTACTGCAAGAGGAAGTTCGCCACCAGGACCACTTTAAAACGACACATCAGGACGCACACGGGTGAGAAGCCATACAAGTGCACCGTTTGTGATCGAAGCTTCGGTCACAGAACTGACCTGAAAGGCCACATGAGGATGCACACAGGGGAGAAACCTTATAGCTGTTCTACTTGTGGAGAGAAGTTCTCCTCCTGGTCTAAACTGAACAAACACAAGCGCAACCACACGGATGAAGAAAAGGACTCCACAGAATAACGTCGAGTTTGTTATGAAAGTATCTAAATTAGGGCTCCAATTAACAATTATTTTGTAAATTGATTAATCTGTTCCTTAAAGAAGACTTTTTTAATGAAACCAATTGAAACTAAAGCTTTTCCACTTCAGGAGTTCTGGATAGAGCATCTTGATAGAGGAAATCTGTCTTTTGCATTAAATGGAAAATGTTTGTATATTTTTTATTTGTGGGCATAGATTATTTTTTTTCAATCTAGATTAATCTCGCTGCAATCTTAGAATGAATCTGCTTATTTGAATTATGCTGAAGGCATTCATGACATGTGTGCTACCTGCACAATTTAAAAGAAAAGGTTTACTTTTTTTTGTTTGCAAAATCACACGTTTTGTCTCATTGTTACTGAGTTTTTGCTGTAAAAATAGTGTTACACTTCTATTTATAGATGTCCCACTTTAACAATTAGTGTCACAAAAAATTGTGTTAACACTGATAACGGCCCACCACTAATATATTTTTTTACAATCTTGGTATAATTACTGCTCTAACTGGGTCGCTCTGTGAGCTAAAGGCATGTTTTAGAGTCTATTAATTGAGACAATTAATCGATTACTAAATTAGTGAACGATTATTTCAATAATGATCCGGTTGATTGTTTCAGCCCTAATCTAAATAAGTGAGGAAGGTGATTGGAAACAAGGCAATGATGGTTAGCTGTGGATTAAATTTTTTAACAGATGAGCTATAAAAAAAGGTTTCTACTGTACATAGTTTAGAAAAGACTAAAAAGTATGGAGTTTGAAATGTTTTCCATGCTCTGTATATGTTCCTTCTCTTCCTTTCATCATTTCCCTTCTTTTGTTTTTCACGTCCTTCTTTCCTTTTTTTCTCCACTCATTCTTTATTTACTGTCCTTCATGGTGTTTTTTCCCCTTTCCATTCAGCTCTTCATGTGCTCCACCTGTCGACCTTTTTTCTTTTGTTACCTCTTTCTTCCTGTTAGCTCCTTCATTTTATCATCCCTGTCTCTGTTTAATTCTCAGCCTTCCTTTGTTTCATCCTTCCACTCTTGTATATTGGCTTTCTATCCTTTCACTTGCCTGCTTTTTTTGCCTTGCCTTCCTTTTCTTTCTTTTCTTCTATCCTTTGTTTCCCCCCCCTATATTCCCATGTCTAAATATCTAAAGCCGGCTGCTTGTAAAAAAAAAAAGCAAAAAAAAAAAAGCCATGAAATCAAAGTGAACTCTTAGTGTCTTATGTTTTAAAATTAACTTAAAACTTGAGTCTGAAAAATTTTGAATTCTTTACACGTTAAATCTTTAAGAACCCTGTTAAGATATTAGATTTATGTTTTTTCTGATAAACATGGGTCAGAACTTTTTTCCTCTGAAGACTCTTTCAGCAGAAAAAAAAAATAGGAATTTTAACGAGAAGATTGTGCTTTTTAATAATGTGTTTATAAACTGTTACAATGAATCTTTCTGGTGCCACAGACTTCAGATCTAATCTGAACAAGCATGGGTCAGTAGGATCCAATGTATCTCAGGAATTTGCAGGGATGGTAAAAGATATATATAGATATATAGGTGTATATACAAAAAGTTCAAATTTGAATGTGTATGACAATCTTTATGTATATAGGTATTGCTTATTCCTACTGCTGCTGAAATATTGCAACATCACATTTATTGTGTTTATTTCTCTGCAATTATTCTCAAAAATATGTCTCCTCAAAACATTGGTATGCCTTAAATCCAGCATTGTGGCCATCTTTCTTTCACAATTTCTTGGTGCTTCTAGTGAAAAAATTGAATTTTGGAAAAATATTTTTTAATGAGGTTCAGCTTGTTACACATTTTCATTTTACACTTAGGATGTATTTGTTTTTTTCAATCCCCATGTCTAACTTTGTGTGTTACTTTTATGTACATTTTTTTTTGCAGTTTTTCTTAGTACGTTGTGTTTAGTCTTTATTTAGATACAGCTTCATCACCAACGGCAAAATGCTGATCCCTCAATAGGAATGACATTTTAACAAGGTGACTATGTTTAACACATTTTAATTTGTTCAAATTTCATTTGAAGTATCAGTTCTGCTTTGAAGGAAAACTAAAATATGTCGTGATTTTAAAGGTTGTTTTAGATGTTTTTGAATATGCAAAAATTACTGTCTTAGAAAAACTGTACATTTTTTGCTTCAAATGAAAAAAAAAAAAAAAAACTATTAAATATTTTTGATACACCGTTCTCTACTACTACTATTTTCTGTGCCCTTTATTAGTTAGATATTGTAAAAAGCGCTTGTTTTTTTAAGTAAATATAGCTCACTCCTGTATAGCTTTCTGAAAGCATAAAGCCATAATGGTTTGTTGTTTTGTTTTTATTTCTTAGTGCTTTATTTGTTTTTGTGCCACAATCTCCACTGCTAGAGCTGGAATGGAAAAAGTATGGCTCAGTGGTGGAAAATAAAATGGACTTAAAAATGTTTGTTTTGGCAAAGTATAAGTAGGTGAAAGTTCTTCTTTGCAATAGTCTTTTGTAGTTTCAAGGAAGTTGATCTGTGAAAAGCTAATTTTTACAGCACAGGAAGTGGTAAGCAGACTAGTCTAGTCTGAGCACAGATAATGGCGTTGGAGGTCGTTAAGACTCAAAAAAATAAAAAACCATGGTATCACAGTCAATGGAAAAGATATTACTGATGTGTTTTTTTTCTTCACTGTGTTTTGTAAACACCCCAATGAACATAATAAGCATTATTGTCCATGCAAGTACTTAAACAAAAGCCAGTGTTGGGTTAAGTGACCGTTTAATCAAAATACAGGATTAATGAAAAATTACACATGAGGTCAAATAATAAAAAGTTGCAGACTGAAGTATGGATGATCTAGATGATCAGATCTGCGAATTGACATATTCACTGGTCTTTCTAGCATTTTCTGAGGGACAAAACAAAGCAGTACTGCATGTGTCAGTATTGGTCCCATTCTGCCCCCATGTGGTTCCAAAATATTTTGCACCCTTTAATGCAAACAAACAAACAAACAAAAAAAAACTTAATTTTCCCTGTGCTGTTCTTTTGGAGGTTCTTTGACCTTAGATCCAATTGCATTTATTGTCTCAACTGTCTGAAGAGGCATTCACTTTTTGAGATTTACAACAAAGCGGGTTTGCGCAGCTTTTCTGAAAACGTTTCAGTTCCTATGCAGGAACAATGCGTAGTTGGTGCTCTGATGTTTTTAAGCAGGTTGGAGATCCAACATTCTAAGCACTCTAAGTCAGATGCAAATTAATGCTTTGACTCTTTATTCAAGCTCATTCAAATAGTTGTAAATGCTGATAGCTTTAGTCAAGAAGGATCTACTGTAGATCCCAGTTTTAAAGGAGATTTAAAGAAGTTTCTTTCTGAAACCTGCTTGATTTTTACATTCTTATGTTGAGAACGCCCAGGGATGTTCTTCATTTCATTAAGAATCCTGTCACCGAGAATCTCCAGAGTCCCCAGAACAGAAGCAGCATTCTTTATTAACTTATTGCTTTTTTTTGCTCTAACTCTGCTACCCCCGCTGATGGCAGAACATATTTCACTCTCCACAACAGAATCCTAGAAGATCTACAGTATCTTGCTGCAAAAACTAAAGGATTGAAGCTTAATACGTCCAATATGTTGAACACTGGTGGATTAACTTCTTCATTTCTACTCCCGTCATGGAAATGTGACATCTTTCTATTTCTGCTGATTAATCGCCTCCCTCATCTTTTTTTCGCTTTAAAGATATGATGACCATATGATGTTGCAAAGTAGTCCACCAGCTTTCTGTTAAGGTTCTCGTGTCCCTCTGAGACACCTGACTCCGCTGATGTCTTCTATCTCAGCAGATTACTGGGCTCCATTTTGTACCTGAAGGCAGATATGAACAGAATGAAAGGAATGATCAGAATGGTGCAATGTGTCCCTGTGGTGATATATATATATATATATATATATATATATATATATATATATATATATATATATATATATATATAATATTATTATCAGTGCTACTTTTCATTTAGACATTCACAGTAGGCTTACATTTCTGAATACAAATACTTTTACATCAAATTTTTGTCATTTAAACTTTCTGAAAACGATTCCCTTCCAAAATTTTTCTTCATACTTGGCAAAACATTTGAGGTCTTACTGAAGAGCTGCATTTAACTTAAAGTTTGAGGTTTCTGGAGGATAGATAAAAAGGAGGTTTTATTTTGTTGAGTTTAAAACCAGAGACTAAATAAAATTCTAACCTAAATGCAGATTTATCCACCTAAGACTGTAATGAGCTGATGTTTATACAGCTTAGCATTATCTGCTTACCCCTGTTGGTTAGTGATGTGAAGCCTTACGAGGCGTTGAACCTTTTGGCCAAAATGTTTCAATGATCCCCACAATTCATGAAGCATCATGTGAACATGTCACCATCAACTGGCAGAGATCATAACAACAGTTAGCAATATAATCTGTTTTTTTAAAAATTGTTTTCTTGTTTTTTTCCCATTTGAGTTCCTTTGAAATTGTTAATTATTGGTGTGTATGATAAAATCTTTTTTACGTTTTTTTTTGTGTAAAATGTCTTAGAAGAGAACAATCATTTAAGGGTACACTGTTTTATGCCATTTTAGTTAAATAAGCTCAAGCAGACAATGAAAGTTTTTTTTGAAAATTGGGCAATGATAAGCCAAATGAAAGGTGTTAGTCATTTTTACATAACATAATATTTTTTCCACTGTTTTTAGTTTTAATCTGGTTGGAAGTTATGTGTTCAATCGATATTTTCGCTAAACCAAACAATCTAATTTGGCAGTGTTTTTACCCAATTTATATTTGTACAAGGGCTAATTACAAATTAGTCACATTAGCCAAAACACTAAAGTATTATTGCAACTTTGAAAAAAATCTAAGGTGGGGTTTGAACCTACAACCTCAGGAATTAAATTCAATGTCTCATAGATGATGCCTCTAGCAATGGAAACAAGAGATGTCCCGATCCAGGTTTTTGCACTTCCGATCCGATACCGATATTGTTTTTTGGCTTCCGATCCGATACCG